CTGTTTCTGAAAGCTTTTTACTGTAATAAAACTCAAATTTTAAACTCGAATCAGTAAAATTAAGTGTAAATTAAACTTAAATTAGATGTGACTTTAATTATTCACTCGTACCACTTTTAAGTGTAAATTAAGCTTAAATTTTCAATGAAACGTTATATTAAAATACCAATTCTCTAAAAGTGGTGTTTCTCTAATTATTCACTTATTCATCCTTGTTTCCTTGGCGAAATCAGACTGCGGGGAAATAGAAAGTGATTTTATGTATATTATGTCCCTTGGCCAAGGTCTTACTTCCTCTCCATTTTTCTCACGTAGATGTTATTCATTTCCCTTCCTCTATATCTTCTTTTCTCTCTTGCCAAACAAGTATGTTAGCATTTTCCATGTCCCACTGTCTACCTGCTGGGTGTTTAATTTACTTACTGTAGCAAAAAATAATAATTAAAAAATGACCAAAGCAAACCTTAAAAATTCAAGACTTATACTAGAGGACGTTTAGTTTATGTATTCAGAATCATAATTCAAAATTATTCTCATTTTTTGTGAGAGAAAAACACTGTAGAGAACCATGAATCATGATTCAGAATTAAGAACGAATATAAAAAACAAACGTCTCTTTATACTAATTAACCAAGTACAGAGAGATTATACATACATATAGGGGTATGCAACAGTCAAGATGGAACTACTAACTAGTTTTAGAAACAGAAACATTATAGAAACTTTCGGGCAGTGAGTTTTTGAGTTAAAAATTCAAAAAAAGTAACTCGAGTTACAACTTTATTTAAGTTCATGTTCTTTTAAGTTTGAACTCGAGTTTAGGACTAAAACTCGAGTTTAAGTTTCTCCTTCAACTCGAGTTCAGAAACTCGAACTCAAATTAATGAACAATATTTTTTCTATTCTTAAAAATGCTATAACTTTTTCGTTTTAATTCTGATTGAGATGATTTTTTTCTATGCGTTGGCAACGAAAAGACGAATAAAACCTCACCCATATACCCTATTAAAATTTTCTATCAGCATTGAGTTTTTATTAAAATCTATCTAAATACAAATTCAAGTTTTGACTCACTCAAACACAAACTCAAAGGCCCCGTTCATTTCGTCGATTCGAGTTTAGAATTCGAGTTTTGCTACAGTAAAAAGCTCTCAGAAACAATCACATCTAACTTTTTTACTATAGTAAAAAGCTCTCACACAAAATCACATCTCAACTCGAACTATAAACTCGAATCAGCGAAGTGAACGGGAGTTATCTCAAACCATAACTCAAATGTACACAATCAAACACAAACGCCCGTTCACTTCGTTGATTCGAGTTTAGAATTCAAGTTGAGATGTGATTTTATGTGAGAGCTTTTTACTGTAGCAAAAAAGTTAGATGTGATTGTTTGTGAGAGCTTTTTACTGTAGAAAAACTCGAATTCTAAATTCGAATAGGCGAAGTGAACGGGGCCTCAAGTTACAACTTCAACTCAAATTATAACTCAAACTCAACTCAAAATCTATACTCAAGTCACCTAACTCAAAAACGGCAAAAGAACAAGCTCTGGGTGTGTTCGGCAGCCTCAAAAACTCAAAAAAAAAAAACAACTCGAGTTCCAATTTTATTCAAGTTCATATTCTTTTAAGTTTGAACTCGAGTTTGAACTTGAGTTTGAACTTGAGTTTTGGACTAAAACTCGAGTTTAAGTTTTCCCTTCAATTCGAGTTCAGAAACTCGAACTCAAATTAATGAACAATATTTTTTCTATTATTAAAAATGCTATAATTTTTTCGTTTTAATCATGATTGAGATGATTTTTTTCTATGCATTGACAACGAAAAGATAAATAAAATCTCACCTATATATCATATTAAAATTTTTCATCACTATTGAGTTTTTATTAAAATACTATCTAAATACAAATTTAAGTTTTGACTCACTCAAACACAAACTCAAAAAGATTCTTATCTCGAACCATAACTCAAATGTACACAACCAAATACAAACTCAAATTACAACTTCAACTCAAGTTATAACTCAAATTTAACTCAATAACTACACTCAAATCACACTCTAAGATAACAGACCCGTACTTTTTTTCCCTTTCACAAAGTCAAGACCTCAACCTTTAACAGCCTTGCAAGTCCCTCCATTGGAGATAGACAAGTCCGGCACAATAGTGCGTGTAAGCTCCAGCCACAACCAAGACATGGAAAAGCTGATGACTGTGGCCGGCAATGTCAAACTTTCCAGGCCTCCATCGCTCCGGTATTCTCGCTGCGTAAACCAAAGCTCCCAAACCATAGAAAACCCCCATCAAGACCTCATAGCAAGTAGTTTGGAGGGCCTCTTTCTGATTCCTGTACAAGATCAGCTTGTGAATAATTGGCGCCACGCCTGAAATTCCCATGCCGAAGAAGAGAGAGGCTCTAAGCCTGCGAAACTTGGGTTTTTGGGAGAAAGGGAGCAGAGAGAAAAAAATGGTGGCTAGTGCTAGTATAGTTATTGAAGCCAAGTAGAGGCTGCGTGTTAGTTTATCAATTCATCCTAAAAATTTAAGCTATTAGAAGGTGGACCAATAATAATTTTATACTTTAACACTCTCTCTCACGTGTGGGCTGAATAATGAGTAATCGTGTAGGTAAATTAATTGAAAAGCACAACACGTGAATATTTAAGCTCGAGATATATAAATACTCAACACGTGATGACAATTTAAATGGGAATAAAGAGTAATTACGAGAGTTTAAATTTAGGACATCCCACTCTGATACTATGTTAGTTTATCAATCTATCCTAAAAGCTTAAGCTATTAGGAGGTGGGCCAATAATAGTTTTATATTTTACCACTGGCTGCAAATGAAAGAGTAGTAGACATGAGGGTAGAAGGAGGTGGAGATGAGTGCAGCAAGGCCTGCATAGTCAATGCGTAGGATAATGTACGAAAGGCATGTGCTGCTGGCTAGCAAGCAGAGCATTGCTCCACTTAAGAAGGCAAAATGGGCACCTTGAGATTGGGGAGACCATATGGGGGGTTAACATGTTCGTGACATCTTTTAAACCATGCTGTGAAAAGAAAACGAGGAGTAAAGAGAACTAATTAGGATTGTAGAACAAAAGGGCATTGAGGAAAATAGGTAAATTTAACATGGTAGAGAATTTTGTTATGTAGGCCTTTAGAAGTTTTTGGATACAGAAATTCTGTAGTTGATATGATGCATTATCCATGGATAGTTTCTTGGTTAAAAAAAAAATATAATTAGCTTAAGCTTAACAGAAATCTTTGCAATAAAAGCACAATATAGAGTAAATATAATTTTCTAGAAGCAGAGTTCTAGGTTACTAACACATATGAAGCCTAGAGGAAGTGCAGCCATGATCGTGTGTAAGTTCTGTTAGGAATTAAGCTCTAATTCCTCCTATTAGAGAGCAATAAGGCAAAAAAAAAAAAAAAAAAAAGAAAGAAAGAAAGAAAGAGGAGAAACTCTCAATGTAAAAACTATGTACCCTTGCCGCCGCAGAATATCACTATAATCAGAGAAAGAAATGCAAGCTGCACTTACTTGCCGCTTGCTGGCATCGTATTTTTTGTAATAGAAGCCATGTAAAGAGATTTTGTTCTGATCATATAACGTTTAATTGGCAAAAAAAAAAAAGATGAAAGCTAGAAAACGATACCAAGGACAAGACAAACATTTTACCAAAAGCACAACGTTATTGTCTATCTGATTTGCAGGGGAAAATTGCTCAGGCATACAACTGGTGAGAAGTTCAGCAAGGCTCCAACCAGAAAGTGAAGGCAAAGAAGTCTTCTTAATCGTTTTCAGTTTTGCTGACTTTTTGGGAATAAGTAAAAAACGTTTTCAATTTTTGTTTTTCAGGAGATGCGATGCCAAACGCATTTGTGAGTGCATTTTCATTTTTTAGTTCTTGAAAAACGTGAAAAACGTTTTTGGAAATGATTCCAAACAGGCACAAAGTTTCTTATACTCACGTCGAGATATTAAGAGTCTCATTATGAAGGGAGAAAATGCTAAGAAAAGCCTGCTTCAAAGGCCATTCTGATCGGTAATGGCCAATGATGAACTCGTTGTCCCTTAGATATTCTGGCAATGAATGAAATTCAACAAGCTGAAACTTCACTTTCTTCCATAGTCTCTAACCTAACCTTTCCCTTCCTTTGAACACAAATCGCTTCCAATTTCACAGTCAAAACGGGTACCAAATTCTTCAAATGAAGTCAAACTATTCTCATGGCGACCACCTATCGTCGCTAAAACCCCCACAAACAAAGAAACAAACGGATTAACATTGTCAAAAAAAAAAAATTGCACAATTTGTAGCAATGGAGTTGATGTGATTTGAATTTTCAAGAGAAAGCTCTTTAGGCAAAAAGTTCTCTTTGAGGGGAAAAAAAAGGATATAGCTATAAGTTTGCTGGTTTTTAACAAACTTAGTCCTGAATATGCACTCTAGTGAGGGGTAATGCAACGAGAAAAATGTTTTAAAGTCAGAAGATCATGAAAAAATTACATACTCGATAATGTATAGCATTGAAGTAGAATTACCTTCAAGTCAAGAACAAAACCGAATGAGAATTGGAAGGGAAAGTTCTTGATATGGACTGTTTATTGAGAATAGAAAGAGTGAGAAAATTGGCAGGTGATTTTTTCCTCTTTTTTTATTTTTTATTTTTTATTTTTTTTTTAAAATAACGAAGTGATGAGGTGGTGAAAGGAAGATATATGGTGGTCTGCAGTTCGATATAAACCATGTGATGTTTGGGACAACAAACACAAAAAGAAGTTATAAACTTGTCAAACAAATAAAAACTCAGGGATGTCAACATTGCGACCCAAAAACTAACTTGCGTGGACAGAACAGAAAAGGAAGAGAAAACAGAAAATTATAAGAACTGCATTGATTAACAAATAACTCAACAAAAGTTTAAGCGCAAAACCTAGGAAATGTTTCTGTCTTTGCTTTCCCTTTATTTTGACTAAGATGATAGGAAATACTGCTTAGTTTCAAACAGAACTGGTAAAGAGGTTTCAAAGGGATGGGAAAAACGTGTCCAATCTGCATGGCAATGCATAGAATTCATCATTCCTAACATCTGATCCGTACAAGCTGAACTTTTCCCACCAATGCAAACCACTGTCTTTTCTTGTCAAATCGTTTTCTCGGGAAAGCGAGCAATCCAACACCAAAGCAACTAAGGCAGCCACCATGGTGTGTGACATGAAGATGACAGTCACAATGTCGTTGAACTGAAATCATTCAACAAAAAGTTTTAGCACAATGACAATGTCGAAAATATGACGAAAATACTATTTTATGGTTGAGAAAGCTCTCACCCATCCAGAATGGCTGTGAACATGTCCATGCTCCGATTGTACGTGATAATATTCTCTGAAATATTGTGGTACTGAAATTCCCATGAAGAAAGAGAACCCCAGTATGAATTTAGTCCTGAAACTGTTCAAGTTGCAGAATTGGAGAAATCCGAAACCAGCAGAAGCTGCATATAGCAATAGAGATCACCACTAATCATCTTATACAACTTGTACAGATACAAGGCATAAAAGAATGACAAAATCAGCAGAATGGAAAGGGTTGAGGAAAAAGAAGTTCCATACCAACATAGCCAAATAAAACACAGTACAAAGCTGCTACAATTGGCAGAGGAATTGAAGCGAATACAGCGCCAAACTTTCCTGATCAAGACCATAAATCAGGCATAATGAGAATCTATGTTGAACAGTAATGCCTCTTGTTTCCACACTTTTATGGATGGCACAATTTTGTGGTGAATAAAAAAGGAAAGAAAAGAACATCGGACAAAAATGTGTTCTTTAAAGTGGTAGTATACCTAGTACAGAGAAGAAAATCATGAAGCCAGCTGATATCTGGATGACTCTTCGGCTTCCGACTTTCGTCAGTGCTAATAGACCAGCATTTTCTCTGCACGGCAGCACACAAGGTAAAATGAAAAAAAAAAAAAAGTTAGGACAACTTTCCCTGAGATGGACTTTCTAATTGAATAAAATTACTGCAACAATATAAAGGGAATATGAATCTGTCTTTCAGCCAAGGTTTGAATTGATTACACTGATGCAGTGGTGCCGGTTAGAGAACCGAACATTCCATTGAGTAAGGTCCCAATACCCTGAAAATCAAGAAAGGAGAACAATGAAAGGTCAATGAAGTAAACTTAACAAGAAAATAAAAAATGACGACCCGGATTAGATTCGCCTACCAGCCAGCCAACACCACGGCTAATTACAGAAGGTGGCACAGGCGTGGCACTCCCATATCTTGCTGTGGCAAAAAATGTACCAGTGGACTGCAAATCATGAAAGTAAACCATGAAGCCAAAATTGTACGCAAGAAGCTGATAATTTGAACTCTTTAAGAATTTTTCAATTTGTATAAGACTTTTGAAATATCTGGTAAGTTAGTGGAGTAAAGACCTCAAAGAGAGAAACCAAAGAAGCTGCCATCATTGCGAAAGTCTCTCCAGCATTAAAAGTGGGACTACCCCATTGAAATGGATAAGGCATATAAATCCTGCAGATAACAGTTTTAACATAGTCAAAAGCTCATCAACGACATTACGACAACATAACTGCTGCATATTATATAATGCAGATAAAGAACATTAGTGATATATATATATATATATATATATTGTTGGAGGGTCTCACCAAGGAGCTGTACGGATAAGCCCAGAGCGATCAGTGCGACAACTAATTTGAGTGTTGGGTGGTTTCTTGTTGTACACGCCAGTTGATGTTAAAAACAGTGCATATAACCATCCAATTGAGACGGAGAACAGCAATGAAAATCTATCACATCTGTGTGTTTTTGCTTTCATATAACGAGGAAGATACTGCAAGACCGTTTATTAATTGCTCATCAAGCAATACATACTCGTTTGGAAAAATGAATACCAAAAAGATTAAGAGTGGTAACGACACTTGCCTGTGAGATGAAAATGAAGATGATCAACTCAGGAAGCCCAACTTCAACACATTTTGCGAGCTAGAAGGAGAGAATAAGAGGGACAAAAATGTGTCAAGAAAAACATTGAACTAAAATAGAAAAAGCAGCAATAAAAAGCAATAAATCCAATGAAGAAATTCTTACCGTGGGGAAACCAAGATGATAGAGCCCAATTCCAGCGAAAGTTACGACTGGGACAACAGAAAGAGGACTAAGAAACCTAAACCAGTAATTTAGGAAACAATGATCATGATTCACAAAGATCATATATTAATATCCATAATCCATAATTTGACAAATTAAAAATTCTTAGCAAATTTTACCTCTCAAAAACTTTCAACTGAGATAACCTACCTTACAACATTTCTCCACAAGCCTAGGAAACCAATTAATATCTGAAAACATGCGGTTATGATTATAGCACCTTGTATACCTCTCATTGTTTGTATAAACTTCTGGAAAAAAATAAAAATAAAAAATAAAAAAAGAAGAAGAAATGATAGTGCTGATAAGAATTCTGTTTTCAGGAAAAAAAAAAAAGAAATAATAATAAATAATGAGGATCTTGGACTAACCTCATCAGGGTCTAGAATTGTGGTATATCTTCTGGATAGAACAATAGAAGTTGTGGGAATAACGTATGTATATGAACCCACAACCACAGATGGTAGTCGGGTCCCAAATAAAGATTGTAGGAATGTGCTTAATCCTGAGACAAACAAAGACGTTTGGATCACCTTAGCCTTCTCAATCTGTGACAACAAACACACACCAAAGAATGAATGAATTTAATAACAAGTTTGATAAGAAAGCAAACATGTCACAAATATATATATATATATATATATATAGTTCGTATTTCTTACATCACCACCTCCCATTAGTGGAACTATCATACTCGGAATCAAAACGGTAATACCAAGAGTCAACAGATAGTGCTGGAAACCCAAAACGACAGCTTCAGCTACACGTTATGAAAACACCGTGTATTAAGTTGAAGAACCAAACAATATCATATTTGAACAAAGAAAATTGAGAGAGAGAGAGAGAGAGGACGAACGCCATGGAGGTGGACTGTTAACACAATACTGAACACCGGGTAGTTGTTCCTTGACTGGGTGTGGCTGAAACTCCTCGGCTTTTTTGTTGCCATTATTGTCGTTTCTGTTGTTAGTGTTGCAAATACAGGCTGATTGGGGCATCTCTGTCTTAGCAGAGCACTAGAGAAAGAGCATATGTAGATAAGAGGAAAAAGTTCTATTCTATATTATTAAGGTTTCATGAGTCCAACGTATTTTATTACCCGGGAAAGAAAAGGATTTGGAAAACGGTTACAAATGGTGATATGGTAACTTGATTAATATATCAATTATTGCTGTTAACGTTGGAGGGTGGTCGGAAATATTTGGTGGAAATTCGTAATCTGATAATGATTTATTGCTATAAATGTTGGACTAAAGCAATCACGTTCCATCTGATCAATTCTTTCCATTACTTCTCAAGCCGAGTAACTAAAATGACTAAAAAAATTAAAATGACTAAAAATTTATTTTAATTAGTAATTTTTTAGTGGGTCATTCTAATCATACTATTTATTTTAGTTAAATATAGATTAGTTTTATATTTATTGAATTTAAAATATAAATAATTTCATTAAATTTATAAAAAAAATCTTTACATTTATTAAAGTTAAAAAAATAAAATAATATACAAGTGAAATGACTAATCTCTCTATATTAATTATATTTAACTTGTGTAGAATGCATTTTTTAAAATAGTTAACCATTTAATTAATAATTAGAAAGGAGAAAAATTAAAAAAAAAAGCAGCTAAATCATTATTAATTATTTTAATTAAAATATAAAATAACTAACATAATTAGAATTTATATTTTGCATGATTACTCGAACAAATAATAATTAAGAAACAAAATATTGCCCCAGCGATCGAATTTAAAATAATGAGCAAAGTTTCAAAAACTCGACAGAAATGACATATCTTTCATACCGGGCGTAACTGGTTGGGCAAGTAATTATGGTGACAGTGACTTCGAACGCATGCCAGAAATTTTAAATTCCTTGTAATTTAGAATCGATTTTTTTTCCTAGATATTATCCAGTACTTAGATTTGTATTTTAGTTTACACATAATAACAACTTTCATAATATATATATATATATATATTTAAAACAGTACGAGTAATGAGTCTATAACTCTCATTTTATTAATAAGAAATGAAATCATTTAAATTTAAATTTTAGTGGACACGTATACACACTCATGCACACAATTATTTGAGCTAACATCAGCAAGAATATTATTAATTAAGAACAAATTACACGTCTTCCCCTCGAATTATAAGTCTTGTTACAAAATACCTTTTAAATTTTAATTTTAGTTTTTTTTCCCTCTAAACTTCAACAACTCTTACAAATTTTCCCCCTAAACTAAATTTTTGGTAAAAAAATGTCATGTGAAATGCGAAGCCTAACAAAAAAAACTCCTTATGTTAATATTTTTAACAGAATAACACGTATCACACAAATAATGACCATTTTTGGTGCATAATTATTATATTAGCTCATCCTCGTTTAGTCACACATAAGTGCAATTATGCACTAGGACTTGTCATTTTTTTACTACACTAACTTTCTCTTAATTTTCCAAGGTTCATCAATGGTGGCCAACAACAATTACAGAAGTAAGAATTTAGCAGAGGGGGGAAATTTGCAAGAGTTGCTAAAATTCGGGAGAAAAAAAGCTAAAATTAAAGTTCATAAGGTATTTTGTGATAAGGCATATAATTCGGAAGGAAAACGTGTAATTTTCTTATTTTTTCCTAATCATTAGAAACTTTATCCTCTTAATCTTTTTTTCCTTATTTTTTTGGGGGTCGTTTGTCTTTTATGGTGCAAACAAGACGCTGATGGAGAAGAGAAATATAGTGAAGTCTAATAAAGAGACCTCTGAGAGAGAATGTAGATTGCTCTGGGAGTGAAGAGGCTATTTGGAGCACTCACTGCAATGGTGAACGAGGGTAACTCCGTAGAAGAAGGCTCGAATACTTCTGAAAAAGTATGAAAAAAACTCTTAAAACACTTTCAAGTGGTGGTAGAATAGGATTAAAGAGGATTCTTGGGGGGTTTCTAAGACTGACAATACTTAAATATTATTAAGAATCCCAAGAACTTAAATAAGACTTCAAGTCTTTATAGCAAAAAACTTGAAAGAAAAAAAAACACTCAGAGAAAGAGAAAATATAGTGATTTCTCAAGAGTTTCATCACTCAAGTGAGTCTGATGATGTGTATTGCTTTGTTGAAATGAAGAGAATGAGGGGGTATTTATAGGAGAAAATGAAAGTGCTTGACAACTGCTCTGACGGAGGCTTGAACACTCAATTCCGTTTGGATCAAGACTATTAGCTTCCTTTTTGAGTTTGACAAAAAGATGGTCTAAAAACGGAATGAAATGTTCTGAAATTTCATTATGGAGAGAAACTGATAGCGTGTTGTCGGAGCATTCCATTTGGAGCAAGTATGTCAACTAACTTTCTGAATTTGACAAAAAGACTCATCGAAAATGGGATGAAGGACTTCTAAGAACTTGCTATGAAGGGAAACTAGCAGCGCACTGATGGATCATTGCACACGTCATTCCTTTTGAAGAAAAATCCCAGCTACCTTTCAAAGGAGTCAAAATGACACCATAAAAATAGAAATACTTGGAGGCTAAGTTCTGGATTTTTGGCTGACATGAAATGATTTCAAACCTGAAATTCTTAAGAGTGTACTCAACTTAGTGCTCCGAAGACTTTCCTCTTTAGGGATATGATCGTGTGTCAAACCTTTGTCGGAGATTATTTGTATGAGAATGACTAAAAAGCCATTTCTACTTGCTCGACATTGAGTTGCTTTGGCACCACGTTGCTCTATGGGCGCGAGTGCTCCGAATGGAAGCCTGATATGAAAAGGAGTTAGAGAAACATGCCTAACATGAAAAGTGATCCGTTAGGCATGCCTTGTTGCATGGAAAGCCTTTGGGTTTCTCAAGGCTTGAGCTAAAGGAAATTTTCTGAGGCATGAGACTTGGGCTTTGGGCTTTTCAAAGGCTGAAGCAAAGATTTTTAGGCTTCCAAAGGGTGAAAGTAAGGCTTTTTTTGGGTTAAATTCTCCATCAACTATTCATGTGGCTTAATTTGATTGATTCTAAAAAACCCTCCAAGTGACTTTCGTATTGGATCGGATTAAAGATGAATGGGCATATTCAATCACTCATGACCCGTCAACATCTCTTTAATATGTCTGAAACTCCAAGTGCCTATTTGGAATATATACCCAAATCATGATTTGAGTTCATTGACAAAAACTTTGTGAGAAAAGAAATTTTGAAATTCAAACTCTTTGAGAGATAAAAAATTACTGTAGCAAAATCATGATTTGTGTTTGAGTATAGCTTCCAAACAACTCCAAATTTCACAGGTATAACTACCACCACATCTCCACTTTATGGTATCATTATTTCTAAATCTGCAAACTTGATCTTACCTATCATTTATTTGTTTAGTATATTTGTTAACCAGAGGGGTTGAATTGATTCATTATGCCCAAATTCATATTCTGCCAACTGTGATGCCACAACTTTATCAATACGGATAACGGAAAAAAGATGCGCCATTATGCTAGTAAGATAGAGAAATTGATGATAAAGTTAAACAATCGTCTGTATCGAAATAATAAAGATATATACTTCAAATATATGATAATTTCCAATGTTTATCATTTACTTCGATTATCTTCACAGAATACTTTACCACTAAATACAAGGATCCTTTCTCGCCTCAGAAATGGTATCCCATAAATGTCAAATATTCTCTGCAAAATAAGGGAAAAAAGATTCAATCCACTCATCCAAAAAATTTCAGCTAAACAGCTTTCAAAATCACTCAATCAAACAATAAAACTACATTGAACAAACAACATCGAAAGTAAGGACAAAGTGAGCCATCAATATCAGAAGAATTAGCAGACGATCATAAAGCAAGGTAGTTATAAAAGAACTCTTATTAGCTTCTGGGGTCTAGTCTGATCTGGTCGCTTCTTATCCCTAGTTACTGAAGAGAGCATACAAACGTAGATTGGTAATGCTATCTATGAATATGACAGGCCCATTACAAGCAAAATATCAAATTACCAGCAATGAGGAAGTAGATTTCCATTTCTTTTTCTTTTGCAATAACCAAAAGTATACTTTGATAATATAGGCTGAAAACAAAGTGGTTGAAGTACGTTATTTTAAACACCAACTCTTGTAATCCAACACTGAAACCAAAACATATTCATAACCAAATCCAAGAACTAACAAAATAACAATTTCAACAAGTTAAATCACGTCGAGAGTAAGATATAATGCAAAACAGAGGAAGGGGAATTTAAAAATAGAGTCTAGACGGAACATAGAATTAAAAAAAAATAAAAATTGGAAGACAATCCCACTGTCCAAATCACTGGATGAAATACTTCTTTCATGGTAAAAGCTAGAAGCTCGTGTCTGTAAACTAACTGTTCTAAAAGATAACGATTTTTCATATAAATAAACACCAAAAAAGAAGAGAATTTCATGCAAATGTCCTTCTAAAAGCAATCACAATTCACAACAGCAATCTTCAAACAGAAAATAAACATAAAATGCAAATAGAGACAAAGTGTTGCAGTCTAAATAAGAGAGTATTCTCACCAGATACAGCATTACTGCTCTTTGGACTTTGATCCTAGTGTTCGGACCCATTACCATCAGAGACCTCTCCTTTCTTCACCCACACCATTCTACTATCTTTCGGGTTCCATACTTCCCGGTGACCAAATCTCTCAAATCCCAGATAACCATGACTGTGATAAGCACCTCTTCTCCTCAATCCATTACTCCCTCTGCCAATCCCACGATATACTGATGATGTACTAGATTCAGGTCCATTTTGAGCCGCATGATCAAGATTATTGCCCTCTGCCTTAGTTTCACCTCTAGTTCTTCCACTTCCCTGGTTTCTTTTCTCCCCATTCCTCTTCAATCCATAATTCCTGTTTCCAGGCACCCCATTCACAGACAAAGCCCTAAAGTTGGGTTCAATATAAGCCGTCTGATCCAAACCAATGCTCTCTGCCCCAGTCTCACCTCTGGTTCCTCTGCTTCCTTTGTTATTTACCTCAGCATTTTCCCCTAATTCGTCAGTCACCTTCACAATCCCGCCATTCACAGACAGAGCACTAAACTTTGGTGCGTTTTCTGCCCTAGTTTTATCTCTGCTTCCTCTCCTTTTTGGGTTCCTTCTCTCTCCATTCCTCCTCAAACCCTCATTCCTTTTGCCAATTCCACCATTCACAGACGAAGCCCTCGATTTGGGTTCAACATTACTGACCTGATCCAAACTATCGTTCTCTGCGCTAGCTTCACCTTTGCTTTCTCGGCTCCCACTTTTCGGTACGTCTTCCTTCTCAACACTCGCCAATGGCGCCTCCGCCACAACTCCCTCTCCAGCAACCTCCAACTCTGCCGCGAAACTACGCTTCTTGCCCTTCCGCTTCTTCTTTTTGTTCTTCTTCTTCGTCTTTTCTTCTCCCTTTCCCTCTTGATCCGCAACGTCGCCTCCAGCGACCTCGTCCTCCTTCCTCACCGAAGCTTCTCCCCTCAATCCCCTTCTCAACCTCCAACAACTATGACACCGATACTCAGACTCAGCTTCAACTTTCCCAGCCACCGAATCCAGATCTTCAAGCTTCTGCTTCTGCTTCTGCTTCTGGTCTTCCTCCTGTTGTTGTTGTTGTTCCTCTTCTTGTCGTTTTCGCTCTTTCTCTTTGAGCCGACGCTCT